GCAGGATCAGCGCGTAGTACTGAAAAACAATCTATATTGGAGAATACTAGGTCCAAAGAGACATTCAAACAATTGAGTATGTTGTTGTGTTGCGTTAGATTTAAAAAATTTGCATAGTTGTCTAGCGATAAGCATTTAGTGATGTTGGAATCATTACTACCATATTTGGCAACGTTAAAGTCACCCATGATTAAAGTATTCTTATTACACATACAATCTAATACCGCAAGATCCTCCAGAAATTGATCCAGCTCATATGATGAAATATTGGGGGGTACATAAATTACAAAAACATACAAAACACCGCTAGAAAGCGATAATTGACAACCAACTATATCAATAGAGCTAAAAGAATTTCTTAAACCTATAAGATCGAGTGGTGCAGCACAAACACGGTTCGTAACTGCCAACAGAGCGCCACCACCCTTTGAAACACCTAACGCCTGTACATTGCGGTCGCATCTAAGTACAAGATAATTGTGATTAAATAGTTCAGAACTATTAACAGAAGGTTTTAACCATGTTTCTGTCAGTCCGATGAGGTCATAGTCAGTTGAAGTGGTAAAATTATAAAAATCAGTTATTTTCGTGTTTAAACCACGAACATTTTGGTAAAAACAACTTAAATTCATATAATTTAAAGAAACATCACGGGAGTTATCGTGAGATATTGAGTCACTACGAGAATCCACACTTATGCACTCTTGGTTGGGTCTTCTAAAAAAGTTTTACTACTAAAATTAAAGCGTCTCACTATAATTCCCTCTGGCCAAAAGTCTTCCTTAAGTAAATTATCTTTATAGATAAATTTAACTCCTATTCTGAACGACTGAAATGTTCCTTTCGTTGGTAATTTATCAACTATCACATCTTCTGAGGAAAGTTTTTCACAAATATAAGTTTTTATTTCGTTAATGTTAGTGTCATTGTCCACCTTACCCACATAGTACCACGCCCTTTTTACGTACGAAGATTTAAAGCCTGTGTTTACATCGTTGGTTTTAGATATACCGATTATAGTTGGTTGTTTTTTGCTCCTAATTCGTCTTCGTGATTTTTGTTCAATCCAGGGATTCTCATGACTAGTATCTGTATGGTTCTCTTCATCAACCGTTAGAAACCACGGCTCCTAAAGAAATCGAAAGATCAAAAAATCGTAAAATCGAAAAATTTAGAAACCGAAAAATGTAGAATTAAAAAAAAATGGAAAAATATAACATAGAAATATCCAAAAGCTGAACAACCGAAACGTCAAAAAGTTGAAAAATTGAAAAACCGAGAAATCGAAAATCCAAAATTTAAAAATCGGAAAATTGACGAACTGGAAAGCTAAAATCGAAAATTATCAAACCGAAATGACGAAAAAATGGGAAATCGAAAAAGTGAAAAACCGAATCATCGAAAAATTGGAAAATCGAATCCGAAAAGCTGAAAAATTAAAAAATTAAAACATCGGGAAATCGAAAAGTCAAAATCGAAAAACTGAAAAATAGAAATATCAAAGAACTGAAAAATCGAAAAGTCGAAAAATTAAAAATCCAAAATTTAAAATTGCAAAAACTGAAAAATCGAAAAATTGACGAACTGAAAAACTGAAACTGAAATTGGAGAATTTCAAAACTGAAATGACGAAAAATTGAGAAATCGAATCCGAAAAATCGAGAAACCGAGAAATCGAAAAATTCAAAAACTGAAACATCGAGAAATCGAAAAGTCAAGAAATCGAAACATCAAAATATCGTAAAATCGAATAAATGAAAAACCGAAAAATGTAGAATTTAAAAAAAATGGAAAAATATAAAAAATAGAAATATCCAAAAACTGAACAATCGAAACGTCGAAAAGTCGAAAAATCGAGAAATCGAAAATCCACAATTTAAAAATCGGAAAATTGACGAACTGGAAAACTAAAATCGAAAATTTTCAAGCCGAAATGACGAAAAAATGGGAAATCGAAAAAGTGAAAAACCGAAACATCGAAAAATTGGAAAATCGAATCCGAAAAGCTGAAAAATCAAAAAATTAAAACATCGGGAAATCGAAAAGTCAAAATCGAAAAACTGAAAAATCATAAATCTGAAATACTTATCAACAAAAATCTAAAAATTTGAAAAATTGAAAAATAGAAATATCAAAGAACTGAAAAATCGAAAACCCGAGAAAATAAAAAATCTAAAATATAAAAATTGAAAAAATGAAATGTCAAAAAATTGAAGATTAGAAATATTGAAAAACCGAGCAAAATTAAAAAAAAATTGAAAAAATTGAGATATCAAAGAACTGTAAAATCGAAAAGTCGAAAAGTTTATAAATCAGAAAACGCAGAAATCGAAAATTCAAAATTTAAAAATCGCAAAAATTGAAAAATCGGGAAATTGGCGAACTGAAAAACTTAAATCGAAAATTTTCGAACCAAAATATCGAAAAAATGGGAAATCGAAAAATAGAAAAATCGAAACATTGAAAAATTGGAAAATCGAATCCGAAAAGTTGAAAAATAGTAAAACCGAAAAGTCAAAAAATTAATACATCGAAAAATCGAAAAGTCAAGAAATCGAAACATAAAATCGAAAAATTTAAAAACCGAAAAAAGTAAAATTAAAAAAATCAAGAAACTGAAATACTTACCAAGATTTAAACATTTGAAAAATTGAAAAATAGAAATATCAAAGAACTCGAAAATCGAAAACTCGAGAAATTCAAAAATCTAAAATATAAAAATTGAAAAATTAAAATATCAAAAAACTGGAGAATCGGAATATTGAAAAACCGAGTAAAATAAAAAAAAAATAATAATAAAAATTAAAAAATGGAGACATCAAAAAAACTTGAAAATCGAAAAATCGCGAAATAGAAAATCCAAAATTTAAAAATAGCGAAAATTGAAAAATCCGATATTTGGCAAACTGAAAAACTAAAATTTTCAAACCGAATGACGGAAAAATGGGAAATCGAAAAACTGAAAAATCGAAACATCAAAAAATTGAAAAATCGAATCCGAAGAGCCGAAAAATCGTAAAACCTAAAATTTAAAAACTGAAAAATAAAAATGTAAAAAAATTAAAAAGTCGAAAAATCGAAAAACAGAGAAATCGAAACTTCGAAATATTGGAAAATCGAATCCGAAAATCCTAAAAATAAAAAATTCAAAACATCGAGAAATCGGAATAACAAAACAGAGAAATCGAAACAAAATCGAAAAATTTAAAAAGCGAAAAAATTCAAATTTAAAAAAATTGAAAAACTGAAAAATCATAAAACTGAAATACTTTCCAAAAATTAAATATTTGAAAAATTGGAAAATAGAAATATCAAAGAACTGAAAAATCGTAAATTCGGAAATCCAAAAAACGAAATATTGAAAAATCGGGAAATCTAAACATCAAACAATAGAAAAATTGACAAATTGAAAAATCTAAAATTCAAAAATCGAAAAGTCGAAAAATTGAAAAATCGCGAAATGGAAAATCCAAAATTTAAAAATCCCAAAAATTGAAACATCGGAAAATTGACGAATTGAAAAATGTTAAAACTGAAATAACGAAAAATTATGAAATCGAAAAAATGAAAAATCAAAATATCGAAAAATTGGAAAATCGATTCCGAAAAAATGAAAAATAAAAAATCAGAAGTCTAAAAATCAAAAAATTGAAATATCGAAAAATTAAAAAAAACTGAAACATTAAGATATCGAACATAAAAAGATCAAGAAATCTAGAAGTCGAAAAACAGAAAAATCGAGAAGTTAAAAATAGAATAACTGAAAAATTCAAAATAAAAAAATTATATAAATCCAAAAATTGAAAAACCGAATAATCGAGAAAATTGAACAATAAAAAATCGAAACATTGCAATTTCAGTAAATCGAGAACTAAAAAAATTGGAAAATTTATAACAGAAATATTGAAAAATGGAAAAATCCAAAGTCAAGAAGTCAAAAAATCGAAAGATGGAGATAACGAAACATCAAAACAATGAAAATCTATTGAAAAATCGAGAAATAAAAAGATCGAAAACTTGAATGATCGAAATATTGAAAAATCTAAAAATTGGAAAACCAACAAATCAAAAGTTGAAAAATCGAAAAACTGAAGAATAACCATAACTTACAAAAACTCTCCTATAAACTGCTTATGTTAAGACAAATACATATGTATTAATCTGTGTTTCTAAACCGGCAGCATCGACTATTGATTATGCAGTTATACAGTGTATTCTTAGTTATGGCATTTTAATCTGGGGACACTCCCATCACAGTAAAAAAGTGTTTGCCTTCCAGAGCAAATGTATTAGATTGCTAGGTCAACTGGGACATCGGGAAGATTATCGATCTGTTTTCATTAACTCTAAAACTTTGACACTCATGTTTCGAATTTTTTATTCTGTTAATTTTTCTGGCGGAAGACGAGAGTGGTGGTTCTCGAAATATTAAACACCGGAACATTTTTTTTACTTCCGATTCAATCACGAAATTCTAAATCTGTGTTTTTGCGAGGCCATCACGTAAAAACTTCTGGCGAACATCCTAACCTTGAAGCTCCAAATTTACATAACATTTTTTCCGCATTAGAGACGTAAGTTTTCCCAGATATTGTAACGCATTGACCCTGGGTCAAGTTTACGACTTGATGAAATTACTCACGTTATGCATTCGTTATGTTAGGTATAACAGTAAACGTTAAAAAATAATGCGCACATTTACAACAACCAAACTTCGATCGTCACTATTCCAACTACTTCCCAGTAAAATTTTCGCTTCACGTTATGCAACAGCTGCATTGTTATTTGCTCGATAAAATCATAGAAAGTAAAAAGTTAAATAAAATATGCGCGTCTAGAATAGCTCGCATGCCTAATTAAATTATCCGCCCGTCGAACTTGCGTGTTACATTTGCGTTGTAAATAATTGCTTCAGGTAGGTGAAGACCAGCAATAAACAACAATTAGCAAACGCAAAACGACTCCGATTTCCGTAAACAAAAAACGCCAAACTGACTCACCACTAGGAACATTAAGTTGCTGAGATCGTCGACCCCGGCGCTGGTGCGTAGGCTGCAACCCCGGCGCTGAAACCGCCCTCTTCGGCGCCGCCGTCACCAGCCTGCTGAACCCCGGCGGCCTGTACCTGGCGCTCTTGGCGTTCGGCGGCAGGAAATGGTACATACTCTGCGCCTTCTGCATGCTCGTCGCCGCCGCGTTCGTCGGCAGCCTCGGCAGCGAGTTGGTCGTCGCGGCGCCGCTCTGCAGACTCCTCGGCAGCGTCGACCGGCTCTCCATCTCCTCGTCCTCGTCGTCCTCTTCGCCGTCGGCGGAGCCCCCGGAGCCGCACGCCGCGTCCGGCACGCTCGACCGCCGCCGGGTGGGCCGCGCCGCCGACGCCACCCATAGTTTGTCTTCGCTGTTGGCGCCGCCGATGCTGCCGCAACTACGCACGCGGTCCAGCTGCTCCCGGCTCAGACTCTTGTGGCTGAAGAGCAAATCGCCCGCGGAGCGTCGCTTGGCGGCGAGGGCGAGCGCCGACGCCGACGCCGACGCCTCCCCCAACAAAGACAACTTGTTCCGGGAGTCGGTGGCCAGAAGAGCCGACTCGAAGCTGCCTCTCCAGCTGAAGCGCTCGCAGTCGCTGATTTCGCGCTCCTCGACGATGTCGGAGACGCCGCTACTCGACTGGTGATGGGTGCGGGACTCGCCGACGAGGAGGTCGTGGGAGCGGCTCCTCGGCAGAAGATTGTACGGCGGAATGGTCTCCTCGAAGCCGAGCGTGTCCGGGAGATTACTATCAGAAGTGCTGTCGTCGTCTTCGGTGGTGGTGGTGGAGGCGGACGAGAGTTTAGCCTGGAGGCGGCGGTGATAATGCCGCGTCTTCGGACTATCGCTAGCGTGACTCTCGCCACTTGACACCTCGTGCATTAGCGCCACCAAACGACTCCCGATGTGGTGCATGACCTTGGCGATGAGGGGCGGCGAGTTGTGAGGGGCGTACGCGATTTTGTTGTCGCCGTCCCCGGTGGCCATTTTCTCAAACGACGCCACTAGTTTTTGGTACACGAAAGCCGTCTCCCGGTTAATCCCGTGGGACTCATCCGCGATTCCGCCGTCCCCCAGGTCGCCCTCTTCATCTTCGACCCCGTTGTCGAACTTGTCGATGATCTCTTTACAACTGTCGGAGATTTGTTGTTGGAGCGCGCTCTTCGTCGTGGTTCCTTCGAGGTCGGAACTCGTGTAGTCCGAGGAGTCGTACGAGTCGCTCCAGGTGTCCTCACTGCTCAAATACTCCACGATCTCCCGAACTTGGTCGTCTCGTATCCCGGGTACCGTCTTCATCAACCTAGTGAGTTCGTTTTCAAAGTACACTAACTGAGGGGGTTTGCACCGGTTTTTGACACGTGGACTAGGAACTGGTTTGGGGGAGGTTCGCGCGTTTAACGTAGGAGTGGTGGGTTTGGAAGACGCGTTACACTGAGAATTGGCCACCATCGTCTTGAAAAACTGGCGCATTTTGCACATCATCAAGTTCGTTTCTTCGTCGGAGCTCCAGTTGTTGAAACTGTCTTTGCGCGTGAGCGACGTCGCCGGCGGGGTCGACAAGTACTTAGTGTCGATTTTCTTCTCCTCGGCGATGTTCTCCAACTCGAGTTTGAGCTCGTGCTTGGTGTTGGGTAGCTCGGGGGTGGAGTTTTCGCGCTGCTCCTTGAGCAAGTCGTCGCAGCTGCCTATGAACCCGCTGTCTCTGCTCTGCTGGTTCTTGTTCGTGGTCAAGTTGGACGGCGTCTCCGGCTGCGGCGTCTTGTGCCCGTCGTCGTCCTCCTCCGAGCCGTTCTCCTCCTGCGTGGTCTCCAAACCCTTCGTTTCGTCAATCGAATTCGAGCTCTTTTGCTTCTTGCCCTTTTTTCGCTTGACGGTGTCGAATTGGCCGTCCGACTTCTCGAAAGTGTTCGACTCGTCGCACGTGTCCGAGTCCGAACTGGACGGGTTTTCGGAATTTTGTACTTCGTTTTGGTCGTTGCCGGACAGGTCTGGATTAGCTAATAAATTATCTAAGGAGGACGAATGAGATCTGCCCGTACCGCGGGCCCTAACGAGTCTTTTGCGTCTCTGTTCGGGACTAGGTCGCCCCTCACTATCACTCCCGACGCTGCCATCGGAGTCCCGGCGCTCCGCGGTGAAGCCCATGAACCCGTGAAGGAAGTACTTCTCGAGACGGGACGACGCCAACTCGGCCAAGTCGGACCCATCGCTGGGTTGCTGCGACTCCTCGGGTCCCCCTAGAGAGTCCAAACCCTCGCTGCAGATGCTGCTAGTTTCGGAAAACGCATCTTCGCGGTTCGTCGCCACCGAAGTACCGTCCCCCAGTCTGAAGAAAAAGTACTTTTCTAAGTCGGTGGATAAGTTGGGTTTGGGGTTGGTGTTGGTCAGGGATTGCTCGACTTCGCTTTCTTCGCAGCTTTCTTCGACGATGGTGTGTAGAGTGAAGTCGATGGCCGAGCGGTGGTACCCTCTCAGTTCGTCTTCTTGGTCGAGGGCCGCGGTACACGTGAGGGCGACCTCTTCGCCCGACGTGGAGTCGTCGGTCGGGGAATTCGTGTCGTCGAAGTCGTCTTCGTCGTGGCTCAGATTTTCCACCCAGGAGTCGTCGTCCGCTAGACCCTCCTCGAAAGCGGAAAGAGTCTCGCCTCCGGTTATCACCGTGACGCTCTCTCCGAGTCGGTTTTGATTATCTGGAAGCAAAAGCGTGACTGTTGTGTTAACCGGCATGACGATTTCTTTGTTTTTGAGGTTTGTTTAGAGGTTAGGTTACTTACCAGCTGGTCGGTCGCCGAAATCCTCGCTCCTGTCCTGCCAGTTGGTGTGCCTGACTATGACGTCATTGTCGGCGACCAGCGTGGTGGTATCGGACGTGACGACGCTCACTTGCTGGTAGGAAGGGGCGGGTTCCTGGGTGATCATGACGAGGCTAGTGTAACGAGCCGCATGACGTGATATACCAACGTCCGGTTCTCCGGTGACTAGCACACCTGCCCGCTCACCGTCACCGCGCGTGTTCACCAACTCCCCCACTACGGTAACGGGTTCGTCAGACCGGATCCCGCTCTTCCACTCGTCGGTGCTCTCGCGGGTCTGCTCCACGTCGCTGGAGTTGAGCGACTCGGCGCTGACGTCCGACAAGCCCGGACTCGACGACGCCGACTCCACCTTCGCCGTCGCGCTCTCGTACACCGCGTCCTCACTCAAATGCTTCACGTTGGTCAACACCACCGTACAGTCCATCTCGGTGTCCGTGTCATTGTCCGAACTGTCGTTATTATTGTCACTCGAGGAAGACGACTCCGACGACGACGACGTCTTGTTGACGACGAAGGTCCGGGAGAAGCGCTTCGGCTTCTGGTCCGCCACCGTGCCCGTGTCGTCGCTGTCCGTGTCCGCCGAGCCCGACGACGACAGGTCGTCCTCCCGCACCGAGCTGTGCGAGCGCGCCTCGTCCTCGTCCTCCGTGGTGACGTTGCTGCTCGGCAGCGCGTCGTCGCTCTCGCGGTCGCCCCCGTTCACCGTGTAGACCCGGTGCACCGGACGGCCCTCGTCGCTGCCGTCCGAGTCCGACGAGGACGCGCCCCGCGTCTCCGCCTCCACGTGTCCCGCCACCGCGCCGTCCTCCGTCATCGCGGCCCCGTCGAGCGCCGACTGCGGCCCGCTTATCAGCGGCCAGATAAGCGCCTGACTCATGCAGGCCAGCAGGTGGCGCGGCAGCCGCACCTGGGTCCAGGGCACGGGGAAGGGGATGGGCACCGGCACCGGGATGGGAATGAAGGTGGGCGCGCCGCAGCTGCGGCACGGGCGGCGCTGGTGCTCGCACTGCACGGCTACCTCGTCCATGGGGGCGGCGGGGCCATCGGCGGCGGCGTCCTCGTCCGACACGCTCCAGCTCAGCGCGGGCTTGGCGCCGCCGCCCGGCTCGAAGTAGTCCCAGTCGCACTCGTCGATCGGGAAGCTGGAGGCGGTCGAGGAGCTGTCGTTGTCGTCGACGTCCTCCTCCTTGGACGAGCTGTCCGAGCTGATGAACACGAGCTTGTAGTCGTCGCGCTCGGGCAGGAGGATGTCGAAGAGGTCGGCGTCCGGGCCGCGGCGCCAACCTGGGCACGAAACTCACGGGTCAGAATTGAGTCGGGAGACTGAGTGTCGAAGGCCTCCACCACAAGCGGCCGGTCGGTCGAGCGCCCACTTGCACATGGGCGCGAGTTATGGACATATGCAGATAGCCAGTACGAGCACACCTCCATAATGTAGCGTTAGTGAGACGGTTTTACTTTTACCTGCCTGTACTCTACCCTTTCCCCGTTAGTGCGGCACAGGATGTTTTATTGTTGGGTTATTATAAGCGTTAGGAGTGTTACGGGTTACCGGTGGTTGGTTGGTTAGTCACTCACTACGGCACATGCGAGTTAGTACGGAAAGCCGAATTTGACTTTATAATTTCGGTGGAGAGAAAACACCGACTCGCGCAAACCAAACAACTGTTACGTTACCCGTTTTCAAAACAACAAAACACTTATTAACATGTCTTTAACGAGCTACTTGTTGGACTAATAACATTAATAATAATAGTAATAAAAATAATCCGGGGCGAGAGCTGGACATTTAACAAAGCATTATACTTTTAAATTAATTATTAAAGCGCACTTCGTAATCGCGAAAGAATTCCGATGAATTTTTGGCATTTAACGTAAAGCGAAATATGAATGTTAATATGGATATTTGTAATAAAATGCATATGGATTAATTACGACCTTCCTCCTACACGCCTTCTAGAGAAAGAAAATAAATTGTGATACCGAGAAGGGATTACAATCGAAAGCATGATATCACAAAAAAGGTTAAAAAACTAGAACGTGTTCTTTGTGTTTTTATTTATTTATTTTTTTAATTTGAAGAAACCGGGGTATGTTCAAAATGTACATATATATACAATATGTCTATAAATGAATTTGGTATCAAGCGCGGCTTTGAAATTTCAAAAAAAAGCGGGGTTTTACGAAATTTTTGCAGTCGACATGCTAGTCAACTGGAATCATTCAGGTGTATAATTGGTCACATAATTAGAGTAAATTCGGTTTAAGGTGTTAAAATAATCAACAAGAGAAATTTCAAAGCAGTCTTGATACCAAAAACATTTACAGACACCATTTTCAAGTCAACGATTAAAAAATCAATGGCAGTCTTCGTGTTTTTATTGTTTTCTTGGTAATGGAACATTCAGACTTTTCAAAATATGTACAACGAAAAAATGTTTTTTTAAAACTCGACAAAAAAAAAACAGGTTGTATCATGTTAAAAACATATAATTTTTAATTATAAATTTAAATATAATAATTAATAAAGTTAATTGGTTCATTTTGTTTAAATTCCAAGTGCTTTTCGAAAATTATCAACATGAAATGTTTTTTTAATAATCCCCTGTATGACACAAGACGATTTTTTTTTTATTTCTACATACAGAAATTGTTTTCGGCCTCAATTCTTTTTTTCAGAATCGCAAGATGACAATCATCACACTACTTATGTTTTTCGAATCAGTTGGTCGAGATCTACATTTCGGATTTTTTTGAAAATTTTTAGGCAACTTTTTCAAAAACACAAATTTTCAGTTTATGAAATTTTAGAACTGTTTTCGATCACCTTCCAGGATTATGTAAAGAACATGAAATATACGTCAATTTTTAATCTTAAAAAAAAAATCAAAGAAAATATTTCGAAAATTTTGGTCTTGAACCTGCAACAAATTTATCAAATGAGAATTTTTTTAAATTTTTCAGTTGTTTTCACCAACCTTAGAAAATTAGTTAAAGAGATTTTTTGTTAATTTCGACGTCTAAAAGGTGTTTTCCTAAAATCACTAACAATGACATAAGGCGATTTTAAGATAGTAAACAATTTCGTTTTTAAACGAATATTTCGTTTTTATCCTAAAATTTTTTATACATTTTTAGGAAAATCTTCAATAAATTCGATTTTTTTTTATGATATTTTCCACTTGTTTTTAAAGAAGTTTTTTCCACGTTTCGGCATCGAGAGATTATTATTATCGGTAACATTTCTCCGAAAATTCAAACTTTTTTTTCCAGAATCAAAAAATGCAAAAAAAAAGGAACAAAAAAGGATGAAGAAATCGCGCCAGAAAAGATCAAAAAACGCGACAAAAGCAGGAGAAAAAAAGGCAGTAAAAAAACGATAAATAAGAAGACAAAAAAATTGGTCTAAAGAGTTTAGACAGTACTTCCCTCGCTGTCGGAAACTTGACGACTGCATGCCTATTGTGTTTTTTTTCTCATTACATTTTTGTAGTGGGAATTTAAAAAAAAATTGCGATGACGTCATCAACATTTTTGTAAGGACACGTATATCAGTTGGGATAGATGTAGTGTAATACTAAGAATAAAATTATTATATTCTCAAATTTTCGGGAAAATGAATTGGGTCGTTTGAATATTGATTTGTAATAATCAATAAAATAACGAAACAATTTACTCACGTATACCTACGTATCAGAGGCAACTGAAAATCGTGTATGTATAAACATTGTTAATTTAAGATGACAGGCGTAACAGCATACGTGAGAGCCAAACACAGAAACTGTAAACAAAACGACCGTCGGTTTTATTGCTTCGACTTCCGCTTATTATATAAAACATTGGGTTTTATTTTAATTCTTGACGGTGAAATTCACAATTGGTTGATTATAAACATGTCTATTTCACATTCGCGGAATCAAGTGAACGCATAAAACAAATGCAGGTCTGTAATGTTAAAGTCGATGTAAATAAGCGTGCTACCCTTATGTTTCAACCGAGTTTTTCCTTTAACAAATTTTGTGTCTACCAAATTGGGTTGGTTGGGGTGTAATACTAATAATAAGTGTTGCCTTTAATTTAATCAATAAAATAAATTGACTTCATTAATTTTTTTGAACCACCTCTTAAGAAAATCTAAAAAATATGAATGGAATGATAAATCACAAGTACAAACTCATCGTATTTTTTGCATTTTAGATAGGATTTATTCAGCAAAATTTAAGGGTGACGTCATCAATTTTTTTAGGAGGGATGAACAAATACATTTTGAACAAAAGTTTACCATGCTTATAATAACTTTAAAATATTCCCAAGATTTCAAAGCATTCGGTTTTGTAATTCCTGATTAAATCGATAAAATAAATTCACGCCTTCATTAATTTTTTTGAGTCACCCTGCATATGCAAATCCAAAAATATGAATGGAATGATAAATCACAAGTACAGACTCATCATATTTTGTACATTTTAGATACGATTTATTCGGAAAACTTTTGAGCTGACGTCATCAGTTTTTTGTAGAAGATAACCAAATATATTTTGACTAAAAATTTATTATGCTCTTTATAACCTTAAAACATCTGCAAGATTTCAAAGCATTCGGTTTTGTAGTTCCTGATTAAATCAATAAAATAAATTTACGCATTCATTAATTTTTTTGAGTCACTCTGTATATGCAAATCCAAAAAATATGAATGGAGTGATAAATGACAAGTACAGGCTCATCATATTTTGTACATTTTAGATATGATTTATTCGGCAAACTTTCGAGCTGGCGTCATCAAGTTTTTGGAGGGGATAAGCAAATATATTTTGACTAAACATTTATTATGCTCTTTATGACCTTAAAACATCTGCAAGATTTCAGAACATTCGGTTTTGTAGTTCCTGATTAAATCAATAAAATATATTTACGCATTCATTAATTTTTTTGAGTCACCCTGTATATGCAAATCCAAAAAATATTAATGGAGTGATAGTTCACAAGTACAGACTCATCATATTTTGTACATTTTAGATATGATTTATTCCACAAACTTTTGAGCTGACGTCATCAAGTTTTTGGAGGGGATAAGCAAATATTTTTTTGACTAAAGATTTATGATGCTCTTTATAGCCTTAAAACATCTGCAACATTTCAAAGCATTCTGGTTAGCAGATTAAAAATTAAATTTCAAAATGTTGTTTTATAATTTTGATTTTTTTTCCAAAAATCTGGACGTTTCGGGTGAAAAGTCGATTCAGAGTTGTAAACTACATGTGTAGGACTATGTTATTTTATACAATTGAAAACCCATTTACTATGTACAATTTTGAAGTGACGTCATCGCTTTAGTGGTGGGGATGATTCGACAAATTTTGGTTAGCGTTTTACCATCTACATGATATTCTTAATATAAGTACAAAATTTCACAACAATCGGTCGAGTACTTTCGGAGATTATCTGTCTAATAAAAATCCGTGACAACAGACGGACAGACGGACAGACGGACGGACAGACGGACAGACGGACAGACGGACAGACAGACGGAAATGGGAGACCTATTTCTTCGTCTTCTAGGGGTCATGAAAGATTGAGAAAACGTAAAAGTAGAGAGTCGGCCGACGGACTCGATTACAATACTTCCTTTGCTTACGCTCGGGAAGTAAAAATGCATAAAAAATATTTTTTTCAGAGAAATATTTAGCCCCGCCCACCCACCCATTCTATATTTCATTGATTTCAATTAGGAAATATAAGAAAAACAATAAAAAAAGGTAAAAAAACAAAAATAAAAAAAACAGCAAACAAAATGAGAAAAATACAGAAAAAGGGAACAAAAAAAAACACGTGAAGAAATCGCGACAAGAAGGGGATAAAAAAAGCAGCAAAAATTAAAAGCAACACAAAAGCAGCACAAAAAGAGACAAAAGAAACGATAAATAAGGAGACAAAAAAAGGCAAAAAATCCGATAAAAACAAGGGTGACAAACATGACATGCATATTTTGACATATATTGCAGAGAAATATTTAGCCCCACCCACCCACCCATTTTACATTTCACTGATTTGATTTAGCAAGTATAAGAAAAACAATAAAAAAGGTTAAAAAAATAAAAAAAGTGTAAATGAAATGGGAAAAATATAGAAAAAGGGAACAAAAAAAGTGAAGAAATCGATCCAGAAAACATCAAAAAAGGCAACAAAAGCGGGACAAAACAGACAGCAAAATTAAAGCGACACAAAAAAAGACAAAAGAAACTATAAATAAGGAGACAAGAAAAGGCATAAAAAACGTGGAAAAA